ACCGCCGCGCCAAGTACCGCCAGTCGCTCGCGGTGCTCGCGCACGCCAAGGCGACTTCGCCCGCGCTCATCACAAAGACGTCCATCATGCTCGGCTGCGGCGAGCACGACCACGAGGTCGAACAGACCCTCCGTGACCTACGTGCCGCCAATGTGGATGTGGTCACCTTCGGCCAGTACATGCGCCCCACGAAGCGCCACATGAAGGTCGAGCAGTATGTGTCGCCCGACAAGTTTGGGTATTGGCAGACGAGGGCCGAGCAGCTCGGCTTCTTGTATGTCGCCAGTGGGCCGTTGGTGCGGAGCTCGTACAAGGCGGGCGAGTTTTTTATTGAGAATGTGCTCAAGCAGAGGAGGGCGGCGTTGGTAAGTGGGGAGGCGAAGGATGGGGTGCAGGTTGAGGAGACGAGGGCGTAGAGATGCAATTTGGATAGAATGGCACAGGCAAGCTCGTGTGGGCAAGCGATTGAGATTCAAGACGAGTCGAGACGAGAGGGCGCAAGATCGTGTATGAAGCCGTGAAGTTGCGTGGAAAGTGTGCGAGAACGAAGCTGTGGTACGGGAACCTAGAACGACGTGCGTGAGTCAAAGAGGACCGACGACGAGGACGCCGATTCGGGCAGGGAGATGAGCTCGGCCTCGTCCAGCGACACTTCGTCACCCGTGGAGCGCACGCTCGAGAGCTCGGGTGTCGACACGTGCTCGAACGAGCCCTGCCCCGACTGCGAAGCCTCCCATCCCTCCTCCTCCCCCTGCACCCCTTCGACTGCACACCAGGCCTCCACATCAAACCCAACTCCCCCGCTCACCATCTGCCTCACCTCTTCCGCCCCACCCCGCACACGCACCGTCCACACCCCTTCGTCCGCGACGTCCATCTCTTCGACCACCCCAGCGTCCCACAGCACGCGCAGCACGGCCTTGGCGCGCAGGTAGCGGCGGTGCTCGTACGCGAGCGCCGTGCGCGCGTCGAGCAGGAACGCGGCGTCGAAGAGGCGCGGGTGGTGCGGGTTCGAGGCGGCCGAGGGCGCGCGGCCGCCGAGCGCGTCGTGCAGCGCGTCGATGAGTCGCAGCGTGACGACGGTGTGGGGTGTGGGGAGCGCGAGTTCGGGGAATTGGAAGTACAGGTCGAAGTCTGCTTCGCTGTCCGAAGCGGTGCTGCAGCTGGCGGAGGTGGCGCTCTTCTGGGAGGTGGCGAAGAGCAGAGCGTTGCGTGGGAGGGCAGCGGAGCTGAATGTGCTACCTGTCCTCCTTGCGCCTGCTGCCGCCGTCAGGGTGCGACGCGTCGACGCCGGCAGCCTCTTGGCCAGCTTCGCCTTGTCCTCCACCTCGTCCCCTGCCAGCCGCAGCGCAAGCGGAGCATTGACGATCAGGTTGTCAAACACCCTCGCGCCGCCGGACGAGAACTTGCGTGCCGTCTGCAGGCCCACGCCTCCCCTCAGCGGCGACAGACCCAACGTGCGCGCTGCAGGTCTCGCACCGAGACCGCTGAGTGTTCCCCTCGAGAACTTGACGCTTGCGCTGTTGAGGCTCGAGTACGCCTTTGTGGTGGTGTGCGCGGACGTGCGCTGTGCGGTCGACCGGAACGCATCGATGGCTCCTTTCAGCAGTGGAGACTGGACCTTGTACGATGCACGTGCTGCCCGCAGTGCCGAGAAGAGCTTATGAGGGCTCGCAAAGCGGTGAGGTGCGAGCTGGGCCGCGCGTGTCGCTGACGAGAGCACACGGCGCAGCAGAGCGGTGAGTGCGGAACTGCTGCGCACAGCGCGAGTGGCAGAAGTGCTCGAGTGGAAGCCTCTGCTGGCCGAGCTGCGGATATGAGGCGTGAGGACGCTGGCCGGGCGAGGACGCGACCTCGCCTTGCCGGCGGCGTGCATCACGGCGCGGATGCAACCTGGTGTTGGCCGCAGCATCATTGCGCCGAGCGAGAATCGTGATGATGGTTGGGTGGCAAATTGCACGAGCGCTTTCCAGGGTCCATTTCAGCTGCATGTCACTTGCAGATTTACCACAACTTTGTCGCACGAGAACATCCAACGCGTCGCAGGTGTTGCTCAGCCCGCAAATCCTCTCATCCCTCACCGAAAGTGTTGGTCTCGCTCCTCCTTCCCGCACCTCATCCAACACCACCCAAAAATGGCAGCAGACGCCCTCACCTCACCACCCGCCGCCACCGCGGGCGAGCCCAGCTCCAGCACCAACGTGCGCGACCTCAAACCCGTCATCAAGAACGCCGACATGTCGGACGAGATGCAGGCCGAAACCATCGAGATCGCCTACGACGCGCTCGACAAGTTCAGCGTCGAGAAGGACATGGCGGGCCACGTCAAGCGCACCATGGACCAGAAGTTCGGCCCTACCTGGCACGCCGTCGTCGGCCAGAAGTACGGCAGCTATGTCACGCACGAGACCAAGCACTTTATCTACTTTTGTACGTGCACACCCGAAGAAAGCGCAGCCGAGAGGCAGGAGTGCTGACAGTCGTTTTTCGGGGTTGTTTTGTGTGCGATGCAGACTTGGGCCAGATGGCGTTCTTGCTCTGGCGAGCGTGATTGCGATGGTGGCGATACGTGCATGACTTTTTGTAGGCCGGGTTGCGAGCCGTAATGCATCTCTTTCGGGTCTTTAGCGGATCGAAGGCGGGTCGTGTACGACTTTAGACGGGCAGGCGAGTGGCGAGGCCGAAGTGAGACGACAACAGCGTCAGCATTGGTCGCAGCGGACTCAGTCGATTCTCAAACCCAGAAGAAGCTGTAGGCCAAGCGCAGGCCGCAAGAGAGGAGAGGGTCTACAGAGAGTGAAGCCAGTCTACTGCGAATCTAGTTGCGACAAGCGACTCACGCACCGACAAAGCGCCGCCTCGCCCAGTGCAGACTCTTCTGGATCGCTGCGAGCAGTCCCCAGCTCTGAATCTCCGCCTCCCTCCCCTGCTCAACACCACCACTGTTCCCTCCCTCTCCGCCTCCTCCCCTCTCACCAGCCGAAACACCGCTCCCCAACCACCCATCCAACCACCCCTTCCTCACATCCCCCTCTCCCGCACCCCTACCCACCCGCACCTCTCTCCCCCATACATCGTACCGCACAATCCCCTCCCTGTCCACCGCCGCATCCCAGCCATCCTTCCTCCTCCCCTCTCTCCCGTCCGCCTTGGCACGCAGGATGTCCGACACCTCGGCGACCAGTGTCGGCAGCGTGCGGGCCCACATGGCGGCGAGCTCGACGTCGAGCACCATGAGGCCCTTGCGCGCGGTGAATGGCGCGAGGTGGTTGTGTTTGCGGATGAGGTCGTTGAGGCGGTGGAGCTCGTGCGTGTGGTAGGCGTGTTCGCGCGTTTGCCACTCGGCGTCGCGGTAGCGCGTGGCGACGTCGAGCAGGCGTGCTTCGCCTGGTGTGCGCGCGGTTGGGAGGTGCAGTGGCTGTGAGGGTGCTGGTCCCCCCGAGGGTGCACTTGGGTCCGATGGTGGTGCGGTGGGAGTGGGTAAAGGTTCGAGACCTTCGCCGAGGGCGGGGGACGTAGTGATCATGCGGCTGGCGCGGCGCACCCACGCCTCATCCACCCTCCCCCGCCACGCCTTCAACTCGCTCTCCAACTCCATATTCAGCTCGACCCACGGCGGCGCGGCGCCCTGCCTCCTAACAATGCGGTTCATAAAGTACTCCTCCCTCGCCAGGAACGGGTTCTTCTCCTGCATATCGCGCACGATCGGCTTGCCCCTCAACTTGTTCTCCCGGAACGCCGCGCTGTCGAGCGCCGACTTGATGCGCTTCTCAATCACGCTGTCCCAGCCTTGCGCGTGACCGAGCTGCAGCTGCAGGTTGCGGTTGGTGTCCGATACCTCGTCGCCCTTGACCGCGTCGGAGTGCTGGTAGTCGAGCACGCTGTCGCGCGCGCGCAGGAGTTTGGTGCGGCGCTCGGCGGATTTGAGGCCGTGCCGCAGCTGCGTGAGCGCTTTCGGGTCGTGGGTGGGGACGGTGTTGATGCCGGCGGCCTTGAGTTTGGTGCGCGCGTCGCTGCTGGACGAGGCGAGGAACTGGCCGTAGTAGATGCTGGGTACAAAGTCGTCTGCGGCTGCGCTCAGGTGTGCCGGCCGCACGTACACCGCGCGCCACGGCTTGGCATCCGGCGTCTTGGGCAGCTTCCGACCGTCTTCGTGCGCACCCTCCACGCCCGGTGGCACGAAAAACTGGCTCCCCGCACCATCAGCGGCAACACTCCCCGGCGTGGACGGCACCTGGATGCCAGCCTTGATTTTTGAATCTGCAGGATCCTTGTGCTCGTCACCTACCCGGATGCGTAGCGGCTTGTACTTGTCCATCACCATGCGCAGCACGGTATCCTGCACGCGCTCCTCGCCCGTCCACACGGGGTCGTTCGGATCCTGCGACCGAGACTGCTTGGAGAGCGCCGCTTCCTCTTCCGCTTCCAGGCGCAGTGCGTCCTGCAGCAGCTTGTCCGACCCCGTCAAGCCTTCGCTGGAGGAGGAACTGGTAGATGCTTCCCCGCGAGACGCCGAGTCGAGGCACGAGGTGCAAATGGAGAATAGACGCGCAGATCGACGTGGTTGAGCTGCATGTCGTGTGAGTGCGTTCGACGACGTAGAAGCTGCTATGAGCCGTACTCTGGATGATGAAGCGGCCATCGTGAAGTGATCGTCGAGGACGTGGTCAAGGTGTGGAGGGAACAAGTGGCTGGCTGGTGCCCAAGCTGAGCAGTCATTCACTCCGCGGCTTCTTCTTGCTGCTGATGCTGCTGCTGCTCGTTTGCCACCGCTCAGGGTCCAACCTCTCTCTAATCAGCCGAAAACAAGTCGCCGAAAAAAAAGAAGCACTCACTCTTCCCACTCTCCCTTCTCCCTTTCCATCCTTCGATCTGCATTGCATCAGACTGGCTCGGACCTTCAATCCACAGTCTGCAAGAAGCACCTTGAACATCGAGTGTGTTACGTGAGTGAGATAGGCTGGATGCCGTTACAGGAAAAAAGTGGGGAAAAAAGTAAACGACGCCTACAGGATTTGAACCTATGCTCCCAGAGGGAATGGCATATTTTTTGTTGAGCAGAAGATGCTCTAGAATGCAATGTGATTCTAGTGCCACGCGATAACCACTCCGCCAAAGCGCCTTTCGATGTGTACTCAGCCTGATGATAGCGTACATAAACCGCTTGTCCTGGCTTCCTTTCATCGCATGCGACTCACACCACTCTTCCACTCTGCATCCTATCACGCTCGCATCTCACACATCCATCGAGCGTCGTAGGGTAGAGCAACTGTGCAGATCTATTGCATCAGCCCGCCGGCAAGCTTCACGCAGGCCTGGACACCTGGATCGCAGGAATCCCATCCTCCTTCGCGCCCACCTCGTCCACGTCACCAAACGCAGACATGCCCAACGCATCCTCCCTCGCGGCCCCACTGCTCACCGACTTGCGCTGCCGCAGGCCCTTCTGGCTCTCGCCGTGCGTGAGCATCGCTGCCTGGCTGACGAACCCGAATCCAGCGCGTGCTTGCGTCGTTGCTTCTATCTCCTCCGTGCCGATGTAGTCCAGTGTGCTGCCCTTTTTCGACTTGCTTGGACTGCCTCCAGCGACGGTGTCGGGATCAGAGAGGGCGGCGGGGACGTATCCGTTCCTGCTGGCGGCTCGTCGCTGCAGGATGCCGCCTGTTGAGGGTTGGAGCTGCAGCGCCGACGAGTGCGAGAGGTAGCCGTCGATGTGCGATTCGTCCTGCATGTCTGCGGGGGTTTTGGGATCGAGCAGCGGCCGCATGATGTGCTTCCAGTTGCCCGCCCACGTCGAGCGCCTGCGCTTTCCGCCAGCCTCGAACCGCGCACCCGGCGCCAAGCCGGGACTGTGCAGCAGCGTCATGCTCGGATTCGGCGACATAGGCGGCGCGACCCTCGTCTCACCCACCGCCGTAACCGGCTCCACCACGCGCGGCGGCTCAAACGGCTCCCTTAGCCCGCCGCCCGTCACGAGCCAGTTCGGCAGCGGATGCGTCGCCAGCAGACTCTCCCACTGCCTCGCCAGCCCTTCCGCATCGCGGAACACAACGCCGTTCCAGCGCTCGCGCACCAGCTCGCCCAGACACGCAAAGTCGAGCGCACACACGGGCAGCGCGCACCCGAGCATGTCCACCACCTTCATCGGCAGGTCCAGCCCGCTGCTCGACGTATGCAGCGACACGCCCACGTCCGCCGAGCCCAGCAGCAGCGGGTAGTCCGGCGTCTCGAGCCACGCGGTGCGGATGCGCACGAAGCGCCAGCGCTCGGTGCACTCGAGGTGCGCGATCTCGGCGAGGTAGCGCGCGCGCAGCTCGCCCTTGCCCGTCACGATGATGAGCAGCTTGGGCAGCGCGGTGGCGGGTTCGTTGGGGAGCGTGGGCGTGCGCAGCGCGCCGATCGAGGGCCGCCGGCGTTCCTTCGAGGTGCGGATCGGGTCGGCTGGGTCGCTGTAGGAAAAGTGCGACGTCGTCGACGCGGCCGAGGAGGCGCTGGTGGGCGAGAGCAGCGCAGAGGCGCTCTCGTTCGTGCTGCTGCGCGAGTGTACCGGTGATGTCGACGAGGGTGCATCTGCAAGCACGCGTGCGCGATACTCGTACAGACGCGCAGCACGCAGCAGCAGCCCGAAATCCTCGTCGGCAGTCCACGACGTGCTGCTGACCACCAACGCCGGTCGATCGTCCCGCCATTGCAGCTCACCTTTTCCGTCTTGCTTCGTGAACGGCGTCGATTGCGGGAACTCGTACGTTGGCAACCAGTCGTCTCCGATGCGCGGCTGGATCTGCGGGATGAGCTTGCCCATCAGCGTGTGCGTCTCTGCCAGCGTCGCTCTTCGGAAATGCGCAGGTGGTCGGTCGTGCAGCACTACCTTCTCGCCTTGGAGCTTCCAGTTGAGATCCAGATGGTTCTTCATCGCCTCGGTGACAAACAGATGCGCATACGCCTTGCGCCCGCTCCACCGCTCCAGCCACTCTGCCAGCCTCACCAGCTTGCTTTTGCCCCCTAATCTGAGCGCCAAGATGGTATACGCGAGATTATGCCAGTCGATGATGACCCTCGCCTTGACCAGCGCAGCCGCCGCCTTGACGACCAGCAGCGTGGGCAGCGCAGGCGGCGTCTGCACAAGCACCAGTTCGGGCGGAGGATGCACCTGCGTCGTAAGCTCTGCAAACAGCGACACGGCCTGAAGCAGCAGCTTGAACGGCGCCACCGCGATGAACGCCGCTCGCGGCAGACGAGCGATCCATGCCGGCGGGGTGCGTAGGTGGTGTTGCTTGATCGACGAGCGCTGCAGCGGCGGCGGGAGGGCTGAACCAGGATATCCGACGATGGCGACCTTCCATCCTTCGTTTGCGAGCGATTCGACGTGGAAGCACATGCGTGGGCTCCTGCCGATATCGCCCAGCACGACCACGGCTGCTGAGCGGCCCAGGCATGGTTTCGAGGTGGAGCGCGAGCACGAGCGGTAGGCCGAGATGTAGATGCAGAGGCACAGCAGTGCGACGATGGGGCTGAGCACCGCGCAGAATGTGAGCAGGACGAGCCACAGCAGCATCGTGTGGGGATGAGAGAAAGTGTGTCGGCTAGTGGAGATGCATTGTCGATACAAGCAGCGTTGGATGATGATGGAGAGAGAGAGGGAGGAGTGTTGGTCTCTGTTGCTTCTCTCTGCACGCGCCAATGCAATTTTGGCGGTGCGTGCGTCCACGAATTGGGCTTTTTCTCGCTTTGTGACACGAAGGCGCAGTTCGACCCTTTTTCTTCTTCTCATCGTCCATCATCGACACCAGCTCTTCCTCCCTCGCTCTCGCTCTCGCTCTAATCAACACACATAGCATCGTCCAACATGCGCATGGTAAGCACTCTCATCCACTCATCTCGCAACTGGACTCGCTGATGCGTACGACCTTGCTGCGAAAACGCTGATACTCACTCACCCTGCCCTCTTCTCCCCCTCTCAGCTCTCAGAACAAGAAGCCAACGAAATCGAAGTGACATGGGAGGACCAGCAATCGATCAACGCCTTCTCGCGTCTCAACTCGACCTACTCGGACCTGCTCGAAGACCTGCGCACGGGCAAGGAAGAGCGCGAAGCCCTCGACGACCTCGCGATGGAGCTCGAGCTCGCCGACGAAGACGAGCGCATCCTGTACAAGATCGCCGACACGTTTGTCTCGCTGCCGCACCCAGACGCGATGGAGAGGCTCGAAGCGGAGCAGAGCGAGGCGGACGAGCGGCTCGCGGCGCTGCAGGAGAAGCTCGATTCGTACGATGCGCAGATGAAGCAGCTCAAGGTCAAGCTGTACGCCAAGTTTGGCGATAACATCAGTAAGTACGCTTTGCAACAGCTCGAGTGCGTAGAAGCATCACTGACAGCTACTCCTCTCGTGTGAGACAGACCTCGAAAGAGATTGACTTGCCCTTTCTCTTCTCCGCACCCACCGCCTCGCACACAATGTACTTGTATCCAACCCTCATCTCAAATGCACACACCCCCCACAACCCGTCAAAAAGAATGAAAGTGGCATGCCAAATCGCAACCGGAACCAACAATTGTCGATCAACACACAAAACCATTGCCCTCAAAGCAAGCAACAAGAGAAAAAAAAAAAAGCAAGCAAGCGACAACCCATCTACTCTACGGATTGGCGAGGTGCAGCCCTCCGGCACCCGCGCCGTTGTTGGCGCGACCCGTGCTGTCCGGCGAGCCAGCGCGCTGATCCGGCTGCTCCGCGTATCCGTACTGCTGTCCCTGCACCTGCTGCGCCTGCTGAGCCGCATCGTGGTGACCCTGGTAATACTGCGCGTTCATGGGCGGCGACGACGTGGCAGCGTGGCCGTGGTAATGCTGCGCGTACTGCTGCGGCGACTGTGCGCCGAGCGGAGGCGACGGGTATGCGTACGGACTGCCGGCGCCGTGTCCCTCCTGCGAGGCAGCCTTGTGGCCGCCCTGCGAAGCGGCGCCGGCCTCGCCGACCTTGGTGGAGCCTATGGAAAGATTGTGCTGCAAGCCGTGGTTGCCGTGTGCCTGCGACTGCACGGGGCTGGTGTAGCTGGGAGCCGCGCCCCACGCCTCGCCCTGCGGATAGGCGCCTTGCTGCGGCTGGCCGGCCCAGCCCTGCTGAGGCTGCATGGCGTACTGCTGATACTGCGGGCCTGCGCCGTACGCGTGCTGCTGCTGCTGCTGCTGCTGATGAGCGTAGTAGGCGTCGTAGCCGTCCTGCCCGTGCTGGGCGTACTGGTCGTGGTGGGCAGCATAGGCACCAGCGCCGGCAGCACCCGCCCCCGCACCGGCAGCGGCGGCCCAAGCAGCGCCGTCGTCGACGTTCTGGTAGTGGTAGGGCTGCTGCGACATTTCGTGCGCCATGTCGTCCATCTGGATCTCGTTGACGTTGGCGACGCTGCCGCCCTTGCCCTCGCCGCTGCCGCCAGCGCCGCGTCCGTAGACGGCCTCTGCGCTCGACTCGTTGACGTGGTCGTTCTCCTGGCCAAACGAGAGCCACTCGACCTCCTTGGCCTTCTTGGCACGTCTGCGCAGGGGCAGAAGGATGAGCCACACCAGGATGATGAGACCGGCGACACCACCGGCGACACCTCCGATGATGGCACCGAGGTTGGTGTTGGATCCACCGCCGGAGCCGGACGAGCCGTTGGCGCCGGTGGCGGTGGCAGAGGGGTTGGCGGAGCTGCTGATGCCCGTGACGAGGGCGCCGTTGCTGTTGGTGGTGGTAAAAGTCACGAAGACGATGGGGATCGAGGTGGACGAGGCGGCGGCAGCCGAGGTGGTGGCGGCGGCGGCGCTGGAGGAGGCAGGAGTGGTGGCCGAGGTGACGGGGGTGGTGGAGGTGGCCGAGGTGGGTGCGGCGGTCGAGGCCGAGGTGGATGTGGTCTGCGCTGGCGAGGTGGAAGTCGAGGAGGGTGTGGTGGAAGTGGTGCTGGAGGTAGGTGCGGCCGAGGACGAGGTGGACGACGAGGTGGACGAGGTGGCGGTGGTCCTGCTCGAGGTTGCTGCGGTGTCACTATCGGTGTTGGGAATCGACGGGTCGGTACCGGTGCCGGAACGAGAGTCGTCCGTGTTTTGAGGAGATCGTGGAAGACCGGCGACGTTGTTGTCAGCAGGCG